CGTCGTCCCGCTTCGGAACCTCACCCACCGTAGCAAGCGTGAGTCGGAAACGGGGAACGTGCGGACGAACCGGATCACGTTGCTAAAAGGAAAATTTTAAAACCATTTTTTTGGGGTGAGGGGGGGGCGGCACGTACATACGTTAGGACTTTTTTGACGTACTCTTTGTCCGAAAGGCATTTCCCGCGGACACGTATGTATGCGGCGAATGCCTTCTTCTTCTTCTTCTTGTTTTTGTGTCGCTCCATGAGAAACTTTTCGAAAAGGCCCAACTCAAAGGCAAAACAGCTTGAGAGAAATCTCATTTCCGCACGCACGCACGCACGCACACAATTGCACAAGTCGTGTATTTAATCTTGCACAGCGTTTGCGATATTTAGCTGAGTGTTGGTGATGGTGTCAGGCGCGCCGCTGAAGGTCTTCCAGTCTGTCCAATTGAAAACAGGGAAGCTATTGTTGCATTTGACAGTTTTCTAGTTCTATTTCACCGAGGGACCAAATTGCTCTTTTGGCTAATCGTGTCTGTCAAGTGTGAGATTTGAATCGCATCCTTGTTGAGTTGAATGATTATTTTTTTTTCAGATGTTAAAAAAAAAAAGAAGCGCACGTGGACTTTGTCGTTTGGAATCAGTCACCGGTTCAACCGTCGCTGCCGATATCGGCGTCACCTCCGCTCGCACGAAATACACCGCCTACGCTTGTGATAGCACACGATTCCCTTCAAGTCCGATATGAGTCAATAGGTCACGTGGCAAATTCGTCATTTTGTCAATGCAAGAGCAGACATTTCCCAAATCTCGTCTGCATCCTTTCTGTGTCCGAGTCCAAATCATCTCCCGTTCCCATGCCCAACATCGACGTGCAGTTGATTGGAAGCCCTGCGTTTATTTTTTTTCCCCTCCCCTCCCCTTCTGTATTTTTGTCATTTTCTATCCTGACCGTATATGTGAATTGAGATATTGTTTATGAAATAAACTCTTTTAAAATCAAAAGCGTATGTTGGCCCCAGATTGTTTCTACATTTCAATGTGACCGGTTCAGTTTTCATTGAAATTTTTTTTTTTCTTTCTTTTGGTGGTCTTCGACCAAAGTCTGCTCACGTGGAAGCATTGGAAATAGGTGAACCCAGCGGCGTCAAACTCATTTTTGTCGCGGGCCACATCGTAGTTGCCATTTCAGTTGCAGGGCCATTATGACTGTGAAACCATTTAAAGAAGTCAAGAATAATTGTTCAACTCGGAGCCCCGTGGAAAGTCTTTGGGACTGCAGTCAAGTGCGTCCAACCCGCGGCAGACACGAGGTGACAGATTGGTGACAACCTGTCTTCCGAGTATGCGCCGCACGCCGATTCCGCGGCCATGGTGGTAATTACAGTCGACAGCCGCCGCTTACCTTCCGACCCCTCATCGCGCGCACGTTTGTTTCGGAGCGTGCGCGCTTGCCTGAATTGAGATTTCGAACCCCCGCTTCTCGCGCGAACGTCCTTGACGGCATCAAGCTTTCATCTTAAAGCCGCGGAGTGACACTGAGCCCTTGTCCCGCGGCGCTGGCACACCGCGCTCAGCTTTCCGGAACCTCGGGTCTTTCTGTACAACTTGTCTCTTTCCTCAGCTTTTCGCAGCACGGGAGCCAATTTTAATCCCCGCCTGCATAGAACTGAAGCCCCCTCATGCACAATGATAGTTTCCTGCAAGGGGGGGGGGGCAGTAAAAACAGCCTTTGAATGCTGTTCTCAAGTCGAAATGAAAAGTGATGAATCAAGTTGCTTACAGTGCGCCGGTCGGACCACTCTGAGAGCGTGAAATGAAATGCCCGACAGCTCTGAACTGATTTGCCTCCGCCAGACACATTTCGCCACCCGGGAACGTTTACAATCGTTGCCGCTCATCTCAAATTATGACTCCATCATCCGACGGTTCGAAAAACGGGAGGTTTCTGTCGTTGAACGAGTCGACCAAAAGTTTCAAGATAGAAACGCTTTGAAAGAGAAGCACAACGGGAGCTCCAAGTGCCTCAACATACCTTAACTGTCGCGAGAGAGCTATTTGGGGTTTTGAGGACTCTTTGGAATCGGAAGTGCAGCAGCTACACGAAAGATCAAGATTTTCATTCTTTGGTGCACTTTCTTTCACAGTTTGCTCCTGACCTTTGAGCTCATGACTTGGATTTCATCCGGAGAGCACAACACCTACATAAACAATCAAATCAAATGCAATTAAATACAAGACCCCGTCTCAGAAATTGTGCCGATCCGGAGAGATGATTCCGTTTTGGTCAACGCTGTCAAATTATTTCCTGTTTTATTAAAGTACTGCATGCCAGTGATTAATGCTTCAAATAAAACGTCGATTATTTTGGACTACTTCTCCTCATTCATCATGTGCTCACCAAAGTGCAGACAGACCTCGAGGAAAATACACAGCCACGTACGGGACTTCGACTTCATGTCAAATTTGACATTCCAGTCGAGCTACAGAGCGCGGCGCATTTCTGCATTCCCGCAGGCGTAAAAAAGGTGGCATGGAGAGCAGAGAACAATAAGAAAAAGAACATCTGCTGTGACATAGTCGGGTCAGAGGGGCGGGATAAGAAGATCCCTTCAAGCAACGGTTGCACCGTGGACCTGCCAGCAGCAATCATTTGCACAGGCAAGCGTTCCGTGAGCATGGTCGCACGTGACAGGTAAAAGCCGCACTTGCTCCCGGAGACGTGGACCCTTTTAATGACGCAAAAGCGAGCTCGCTACAATTTGGATTCTTTCATCATCGGGAAGAGATTGAAAGAATTTACCCATATGATTCATTAATACCTGGAAATCCAGGCTCTGACACAACCACAGTCAATGACAGTAGCTATTGACGTTACTTTCAACTTATGAACCTCAACGTACCTCGAAAAACCGAACAAATCTGTCCCATTTAACGGTCATTCACTGTATCCATTTCCAATAAAATGGCCGCCAACTACGATGTTTCGTACACTCTGAACATCTGGAGATGTAAAAACACGAATATGTCATCCAGTACAAACATGTCAAAGACAAATTCGTGTCTATGAAGAAATACTGATTGGATAAGACACGACACAAACAACCGGAGCGTCCTGACTTCATCGGTGAAAACATTCAGTCAGCAAATGTTGGCCGCCATCGGCAAGCGCCGCCGAAGCCGACTTTGAGGGAAACACGATTGCTCCTCACTGCTTCAAACCATTTGAACTTTCCCAGTTCAGATCATCTCTCAATCTGTCGACCTCAAACTCTGGTCTGATTTTGTCTCCGTTACGGACGATTGTCAAAATCGTCGGCGTTGCCATTTCACAGTCTCGGCCGAGCTTCCCCCGGGGAGACTCCCTTTCGGAAGTGAGACACAATTTCAGCGAGATTCGCTTCCGTTGACCGGACGTGTTTTTCAAAGCACGTGCTCAGGAAGTACAACAACATACGAGGCGATTGGCAGTGTTGCTAAGCAACGCAGAGGAATCCCCCACTGTACATTTTGTTCACAAGCAACGTCGCGGCGGCAAACCCTTGACAAATGTCAGCCGGGGATCAATCTGGCCTGAGCTGACGACACCGATAGGAAAAAAAGAAGAAGAAAAAAAATATCTCCGGTTCAAAATGTAGGCATGAGAAATCTCCGAGCCCTAAATACGCATCTCCTGCACTTCTGCAAAGGAGTGATTCAGGCATGCAAGCCATGGCCGCGCGCAGCTTGCACAGACGCAGCAGATGCGGCGCTCTCTGCGGGAGAGCTAATTAGCCAAGCGACGTTCCTCTCCTCAGCGCCGAGCTGACCTTCAACACTGCTCCCTTAAACAAGCACCCGGAAGCCCCCGCGCGCACGCATGCTGCAAAACAACACCGCCACTTTCCTACTAGATGAGAGGAACAGCTTGCTCCAGGCTGAAAGCTGATGACTGCGGCGCAATCGTCATTTGGGCTGGCCTGCGAAGCCAAATTATACTTGAGTAGAGTAAGAGCAATTCATCGACCTGGTGTAGATTTGTCGTCTTGCACGCACGGCTTGGTGGGATGATGCTAAGGCGGAATTCCCGCAGTGTCTAAAAATAGCAACGGTGTCTCAACAACAACAACAACAAAAACTCCCACTCTGGCATCCCTTCACTGGCTCGTTTTCGAGTTCTTCGGAAGACGCTTTCATTTGTTTTCAAATCTTGAAATGGCCCTTACCTTTCTGAGCTGCGAGTGCCTCGGGTCCTCGGGTCTCCGGACGGGACACGATTGGAAGTTCGGTGGAGTCAGCGGAGGCTCAGCGGGGACGGAGTCTTGCGCCAAGGCCGCTCGCTCTCTTTGGAATGAACGTTGGGCGAGCCCCCTCGCCGTCCATCTTTCAAACTCAATTTCCTTCTTTGGCTTTGGACTCGGCACGAGACTTGATTTCGATTTGGACTCTTTTTGTGCTTTCGACTGTCGTTGCAATTCATTTAGTCTTGTTAGTAAACATTGTCTGTCCTCGGCCGTGTGGCCCACTTTTCCTTTTTGTGGTGTTCTGTGGCCTTTTTCGGTGCGGGCTCGGCGGCTCCCCCCTCAGCCAG